ATTTCTGAGTCACAGGGTAAGGCTGTGGTGAGAAAGAAGAGGTCTGGTCAGAGAGGGACTGAGGATCCACTAACACCACAGCGAAAGGCCATTGCCACGTGAGGGACTCCTGACTTGCGGCTCCAGCCTCAGGAGTTGCTGCCCATGCGCTCACCGTGACTCTCTGTCCACTGTGACACTTATGACTGTGTGACCTGAGTTTCTCACCTGGCGCCACAGCCCTGGGACAGGCAGGAGCTCTGAACAAGCTCAGAATTCTTTTTCTCATTCTCTACATAGTTTCCTGGGATAACGTGCCTTCTTTTTAAAAGAGGCAAAGTTGAAACAATTATTTTAAGTATTGTTTGAAAGAAACTGGGCTGTAATTATTCCAACAGTAACCTAGATATTATGCGTAGGTATCGGGTAGGCAGGGGCCTTAAAAAAGCCAGGTGCCTACAGAAATCAAGTTGACAAGCAGGTTATGGTTGCCAAGAAATAGCATTCTCCTTGAACATGATGCGTGAAGTATGGCCCAGATTTATACCCTACATTAAACACCTTCCTTGGAGTGCTCTAAAGGTCTGCGTTTGCCTGGCTCATCGAGGTTCATAAGTTATTCACCCAGTTATGTCGCCTCTGCTGTTCTGTGCACTGAGTATTTTTACCTCCATTATCTGCTCTGAACTCTGGTCGATGACAGACCGGGGTTCCCTTAGCTCCTCATCATTTCTGTACAGTTAGTGTGATCTCCCAGCAACTACTGAGGAGCAAGGATCCCGCCTGACAGGCTAACTATGCTGACTGCAAAAATTAAATTAAAACATCTGCCATGTTTCTACGAACTTCAAAGTGAAATAGAAGTGAATTGGAGATTTTCTGGAGATTTTGAAAGACTGTTGTTCAGCATACCTGGAACATCATGAAGATGTTGCTAGATGCTGCCTAAAACAGGAAGTTAAGTCCAGACCTTGACAGTGGAGATCCAAAAAGTGCTGAGGAGCATGGATAAAAATTCAGGAGCTACACACTGTGCTTAACCAATAGTTAGAAAGAAACACACGTAAAATTAGCCAAGGCCAAAAGAAGGATTTAGGTCGGGGGTGGTGTCCTACACCTGTAATCCCAGCACTCGGTAGGCTGAAGCAGGAGGATTGTTGCGAGTTCGAGACCAGCCTAAGCCACAAAGTGAGCTCAAGGCCAGCCTGAACTGCATAATGAGACCCTGTCTCAAAAAAAGACCAAAAACAGAAGGACTTAGGAGCTATGATAATGACATGGATAGCATACAGAATGGAAGGAAGAGCTAAGGACAAAGGGACTAGAACCGAGGACAGTGCACCAGCTCCTCCACTCCACTCCAGCCCCAGCCCTGCTGTGCCCGCTGCTTTCCTATGAGCGTCTGAATCATGCCCTTGGCCTCTCCTCCTGCTGGGACGAGACTACCAGGAGACCTGGAATCACACACTGAAGATAAGTGCCGAGGCTCCTGGGAAGATTTGTGCAGGTTGCTGCTTGCCCAGCTGAGTGACCTGCCTATGTGTGCCCAGGCCTGGTCTTGGGTGGGCAGAAAGACAAGCTCCCCAGAGTAGGAGCAGCAGGGCTCCAAAGGGGAGGCCTGCAGCTATTACGTGTGCAAGAATAAGGGCAGACCTCATAGTAAGCAGAAAAGTGAACAAATCCCTCCCATTGTGCTGGGCGGTGGTTTTAATGCCATTGCCACCACCCTTGTCCTTGTAGTCACAGGACAGCCAGCTCCTACCTCATACCCCATCATCACCATCCATGATTCTAAAACACACTGAGCTGCTCCCACACTGAACAGCCAGCAGCTCACCAGGATGGTGCTATTGCCTCTTCTCACATGTGCCCAGGGAAATTCTGAGTGTTTGCATCCATGAAGTAAAAGACTTTCTTAGTGAAATACAAAAAGTAAAGATAAAGCAAAAGGTGCCTGGGAAGCACCTTCCCCCACAGTTGCTAAGATTGCTAAAATCAATGTTTACCAATTTATTAGCAAGCTCTTACCCAACTGTAAGTGAAGCAACATGGAGTTGAGCAAATGCATTGACTCCCAAGGGAGAAGCTACTTTGGCAGAGAGCAATCAGAGACTCTCAGGTCCATGAGTATAAGCTGATTTTCCCAAATAGACACACAAAGCAGGGTACAATTAGAGGTGGGAAAGTGGCCCACAGACACGTGTTCTTAGGAAATTCACAAATTTTACTCCGTAAGCATTTGTGAAAATATAACATCTGCACCTAGAAATCAGCTCTTGTTTTAAAATAAGTGATATTGAATGTTCAGGGAGTGTTGTTAGACAGGCAGATCTCTCATTTATGCAAGCGATTTTTACATGCTTGTAGTGTAAGTCCACATATAGCCAATCTCTAAAATATCCTAGACATTTTTCTCTGTGTGAAGTTTTCTCGTACAAATTACTCTAACCCATCTCCATCCCTCTGACCTAAGATCATTCAGTGTGGTGCTTGTAATCATCATTCACCTGTCCAAATTTCACATTGCTTTCACATAATACAAACTCAGTGCTCATGTACCCACTTTCCTGTCTTTTTCCTGTCATATTTTCAGTCACCTCTTCCAGGGTCAAGTATTCCCTGCTGACCAGTTCCAGTCACCACAGGAAACCAAGAACCCACCTGCTTGGGATATGAGGTTGGTTCACTTGCACCAAGGCACGGATATAGAAAAGCAAGAGCTGCTGCAGGAACCTGGGCCCCAGGACAGCAGAGCTGCGGCTTCCCCAGGCCAAGGGGACCCAGAGGCGGTGGTCAGCAGCATGGGAGAGGAATCTGGAGATGGAAGGCATGGTGTCAGGGGCACTGGATGCAGAATCGGAGCACCAGGAGCAGAGAGGAGGGTTAGCATCTGTAGTAGTGGGAGAGATCGATTGTGTGTCTACTTTGGGCTTTCAAGAAAGTCTTTATTTTAATTTAGCTTTTCTAGTACCTCCTGTTCATCCTATTTACAGAATACCAACCTGTGACAAACTAAATACAAGCAAGGCCTTCACCACCAATTAAACACAAACTAAGTACAAGCAATGCTCTGCTCTGAGAAGGTTTCCTTCTCCTTCTCCTCCTTCTCCTTCTCCTTCTCCTTCTCCTTCTCCTTCTCCTTCTTCTCCCTCTTCCTCCTCCTCTTGTATGCTTATGGTGCATACAGAACAGTGATGGGTATAACATCCTGACCCTTCTCTTTCCTTTTACGCTCTCTCCTATACCCCTTCCTCTCTCCCTAGAATCACCCTCCCTGCTTCCTATCCTTATTAATTGGCACACAATAGCTGTACATACCGTGGAAGCCATGTAACATTCTGTTACTGGCTGTTAGGAGTAACCAGAAGTGTGATCAATTCACCAATCCATGAATGTGAAAGTTTAACATTTATTTAGGACAAAAGGAGAAGAACAAGAAGTGCAAAGCAAGTGCTCAAGAAGAAAAAGTGCACCTAAAAGCAGTGCTCTGCAGAGTGAGTGTGGGCCAGTTAAAATAGGGAGAGAAATTCCCCCTTCAGAAAGCAGCAGGGCTGCCAGTGAGAGGCTCCAGCAGCCAGGAGCCCCCCAGATGAGAGATCTAGGCCGTCCTATCAAAAATCCATTTGATCTCATGCCAGAAGATTATATCAGGTGCAGAGCTCAGCTCAGTCCCATGAAGAACTGAAGGTAGCATTCCCTGTGATTGACAAGTCTCCATGATTGCCAGGTCTCTGCAATCGACAGATCACATCCAGTTACACAGCTGCTTTGTCTTGCCCTAATTTCCTGCCTCAATTTCAGTGCATTACACCTGTGTAATGACCAAATCAGGGTAACTTGTACATCCACCCTTCAAACCTTTATCATTTGTGTTGGGAATACTCAAACTCCTACTAGCCATGTTGGAATAGTCAATTAGCTGTTCTCAATCTCAGTCATTCTACCTTATTATAAAATATTAGCTCTTCCTGCTGTCCTGAACCCTTTTCCCATTAGTGACCCTCTCTCCACCCACCCCCCACATCTTTCTCAGGCCTGATGACCAACCTTCTGCTCTCCACACCCAGGAGATCTATCCTCCAGCTTCTGCACATAGGTGAGAATATGTGGTTTGCCTTTCTGAGCCTGGTTTATTTCATGTCACAAATGTTCTCCAGTCAGTTTCACCCATGAAGTTAGAGATGATGGAGTCCAGCTTTTCTGTGGTGGAGTCATGTCTACTGTGGGTATCTGCCATGCTTTTTTCACCTACCTGTGCACCAATGGCAGCTCATGGGGTTCCAGGTCTTGGCTGTCATGGATCATGATGTGACATACATGCAAGTACACATGTTTATTCCATAGACTGATGTCATTCATTTTGGAATTGTGCAACCCACAGAGGAGAAGGTGCTCATGAGCCACTCAGGCGGCCCCAAGAGAGCACTAGGAAGACAGCAAGGAAGCTGATAGCCATGCTCTCTCCACTTCTCTCCAAGCTCTTAATGAAATTCCCTACTTGGCTAACCCTTGGGTTCTTCAGGTGGTTTATTAGGCCAGGTTATTGTGGTAATGAAGGTCTGACATAGTAGTTAATATGTGCCAGCTATTCATAAGCATTTTTAAAATTTTACAATAAAAACAAAAATATATGACCCAATATATGACACGCTGAAGTCAGTTTTGGTTTGTGATGCTGAGGATGGAACCCATAGCCTCTAAAGGCTAGGAGGCAAGCAACTCTACTGCTGAGCTGTACCCCAAACTCTGAAATCATTTTGGGTTTTGAATATTTACCTGGAAGACCAATCCATTCGTATGAGACATGTTGACTGATAGTCTTGTGTTTGTTTTAATAAAAACCATCAAGCATAGTTCAAATGTGATCGTGGCTTTCCACAGTCAATCTTCTGCTCTCACTTGTCACCTCCACTGGGTACAATTCCTTTCTGCTTGCCATTATTCTGCTGCCTCTGTCCTCATAGTTGAGGAAAGAAGGCAGAAGGTAAGTGAGAAAAAGTGCCCAGACAGTCCACACACCATGAGAGGCCATCAAACTCTCTGTTTAATGTAATGCTGTAAGGAGTTTCTTAAACAAGACATACAACCTATGCTTTAGAAAGACAAAGATTACTTAGTAAGATGGAATGTAAAAAAAAGATGAAATGATAAAAACAGATTCTGCTTATTGAAATGAGCAATAGGTCTTTGTAGTATTTGTTCGCTAAGTATCTTTTCAAAATAAACATATCACCAATTTCCAAATTTTCCCTGTCCCCTACAATACCAGGTACATGATAATCACTCAAAAAAGATACACATTAAATGAATAATAAATGGTATAATACATGCTTTCACAGGTGTTTTCTATTGATGAAACAATTTTTAAACTGTAAATCATACAATGAAATATACATTAACATACATACTAAATGTTCATCAAATTTGCATTACTGCCGTGTGAGAACATTTTGTAGTCCATGGAAAATGTAGTTCCTGAGCTCATCATTGGCTTTCACAGGTCATCTTCCTCACTGTCAAATTATCTTTTTTTATGTAATTCGGGAGTGTGAATTGAGATTAGGGTGTTTAATCTTCTATTATCTGGGTAAACAGGCTCTGTCTTCTGTGAAAAGTAGGAAGAGAACCCCAGGGCTGCCAAATTTGTCCCCGAAGTACCTCAGGAAAAATGTAGACTGAACATGGAAGACGCGGTCCCTGATGACGCTCAGTCCCAAGGAATGTATGCTTCCCTTTTCGTCAGCCCCCGACACACGGCAGCCCAGCTGTTATTTGCATTGATTAAAACATCTTCCACTAATTAATTATGTTCCTCTTTAAATTACTTACAACTGCATTCTGTAAACCAACATATTCTTCCCTGTCACAAAGCAAATAAACCCCTGGCCCCCACAGCTGACCTGTCTCCAGCGCCGTACACTGTGCTGAGGTGGACCCACTGCATGTTTGCGGGCTGCACCATCGCAGTGCCAGCCTTCACTGGATCTGCTGGACTTGACTTAATAAGAAACCCCTAACCCCAAACCTAGTAGGGCTCACCAGCCTTTATTGATTTCTCAGTTCAAATTATTTTGGAAGGCTTTTAACACAGTGTTACAAGTTCCTGATGGAAATACAAAACAGAACAAACGCTGAGCACAATCTTTCTTTCTTGGGTTCACTGAGGCCATGGAATCATTTAGATCTGTGTTGTGTGTTTTGCTTCTCTTCCACATTTTCATGTACCTGCTCTTGAAACACTAGAACAAAGTAATTGAAAGAAAACTCCTGTGAAACCGCTTGAAATTGATCCTATTGAGATGTAAAGCCTCAAATGACCTATCTTGTGTTTTACCCTGCGTCTTGATGTCAGTCGACGTGATTGTACAATGCATGTGTCTGGTTCCTGGTGATTTTCTAATGTGCATGACCACTGGAAACTGGGCATTTACCGAACACCTCATACACCCAGCATTTCAGACAGAAACTGAACACCTTTTGAAGCATTTTAACAACAAAGAGTAGTCTCTCTCACAGATCTGAAACCAATAATCAGTTTTCTTGACCTACATTTAAAAACAAAAGCATCTTTTAACTAAGTAAGCGTAAAAATCCCTCTGGAGATGTTTTTCTTTGTAAAACGCCTTCATTAAGGACACCACCGTCTGCATCCCATCACTCCAGCTCGATGTCCCCTGCGTACAAGGTGATGAGCAGGATGGCAGTGAAGCCTGTCAGCATCCCCGCGTTCTGGATCAGGAAAAAGGTGAGGTCTGTCTTCCGCCCCGTCACCTTCTCCCTGAGCATGTCGTTCATCTCTGGGAACTAGAGCAAGGCCCATTGTTAGACAATGCTTGCCATCTGGTGGCAAAACACACAACAGTCCCTGCAGGCTGCTGTAGGGGAGTAGGCTGTGGCCTTCAGGAGTTTAACCGTTGAGCAGAAGTGGAGATGTCCAGCACTTTCAAAGGACTGAAGGGGTGCACATGGCTCCACCAAGCCTCCCACCAGCAGGGTGAGTCAGACCTCAGTCTGTCGTGTGTGTATGTGTGTGTGTGTGTGTGTGTGTGTGCGCGCGCGCGCATGCACTCCATCCATACCATCCTTTCAGGATCCCACATACACCAGCTTCATTCCTTCCTTGGTGTCCACACCCTCACCACAACCTCAGCCTGAACTCTCCTGCCTCCAGTTTGTGAATGGACGGAACCCTTCAGATTTCTCCTTAAATCATCCCTCCCTGAAACGCTTCCCTTAGCCTGTCCTAATTCATGCTACATGTTCTTATTATACGCTCTCCTCACATGCATTGCTTTTCCTTTTCATAGCATTTTAGAACTATTTGCAATTCTTTAGTCTGCTGGAAGATTGTGCCTTTCATTTCATCCCTGCCAGAATGCAGGGACTGGAATGAGTGAATCACCTGACAGAAATAACCCTGCATTTAATTTCTTTTGCTTCAATTTGTTTCCTTCTATTTACTCTACCATCACAGAGTCATAAGGTTTTAAAATAAATTTATGCATTATGCTAGGATCAAAGTCTGGAACATCATTATAGTGAAAAGACTTAAAACCCTAGGTATTTTATCTAGAGTCCCCCCTCTCTCAGAGATGGGTACTGACCAGGCCACACAGGAGATGTGAACACGTGGACTCTGAAAGGCACATTGCAAAGTGATTGCCTACATATGCCAGACGCACTGCATCCACGTACCTTCGAGGTCTCCAGGGTCAGGCTGACCCATAAGCCTCGCTTAAGAAAACTCCTTCCAGGGCAAAATGGGTGGGGCTGTGAAACCAGCCAAAAAAGTCAAAAATTCTGTAAGCATAAGCAGCATCGTTTGTTAGTAGTATTCCCTTAAACTGAGCCATATCAGTGGAATCTGCTGTACTATCTGAAAAAGGAGAAGTGGCCACTTAGAGTGAAGATAGTGTGAAGCCTGGATTCTGTGAAGACAAAGATAAAAACAGCAGTGTTTCCAGGAGAGCAAGTCCTAGCTGTTAGAGTGACCTGCACACCGCAGTGCACAGAGCTAGCCAGTTATATGTGGAGCTAAGGGTAGAGATGAAAAAAATCAAAACATTAAGTCATATGTTTAATAACTTCAGTTCTGAGCTAGGGACATAGTTCAGTGGCTCAGTGCCTGCCTGGCAAGTGCAAGGTCCTGAGTTCAATTCCCAGTACCAAAAAATAATAATAATATGACTTCATTTCCAGGTGCAAAAAAACCACTTGATTTTCATAGAGTAGCAATTGTTAAGTTCTACAAAGCTATCCGTGACTCACTCACAAGTACACAAGCTATTTCCCACTGAAACACACTCACTACACACACACACATACACACAGAGATAAATACAGTTGTAGATGCTACTGAGACAGATATCCAGATGCATACTAACCCAAATAAGCACTGGGAAATGTTAATCTTACTGACGTTAGTGGGTTAGCTTTAGCTTAATCCAACAGGCTTTGACTGTTTAGAGCTCTGATATAACACAATGCTGTTTCCTCTAACTAGTCCACATGTGACATTTCCTCAAAAGTGAGGGGAAAAGTTCTATGAGGACAGACTATGCTAGAAGACAAGTCTCACCTTCCACAGGCACAGGGGATCTCGAAAACATCCCTGCCTCAGCAAAAGCAAATCATTTCACCCTCTTTTAATGAGATCTCATTTTGAAAAATCAGGGAGACCCACTATAGACTCATACTAAGTGCTGGGCTCGGTGGGTTGGGCTGACACTGGAAGCATCCAGGCCCTACAGCAAGACCCTCACTTGGGGAAGCAGAAGGCTAAACCCATGGAACTCCTAACTCCTGTCTAAGTTTTTAATTAAACAAAACAAGTGCCTAAATGTCTTACCATATCTGCCAGAGAAATGTAGAGGAACATGCCCCCAGCCAGCGCAAATATGATATTCGGGGCAAAATTGTTGCCCACCAAGATGCCAAAAGCCAGCCCCACATAGCAGGAGCAGGCAGAGAGGAAGTTGAACAGCAACGCCTGCCGCGTGCTCATCCCCGCGTTCAGCAGGATCACGAAGTCCCCTAGAAGAAGGAAATGCCACAAGAGTTGGGCTGGTTTTCCAGTTGGGAATGAGATCAAAAACAGTCAGCCTTATCCAGCAAGGCTCCTTCATCCTGGGCACTGCAGGATATGAAGGTGGTGTCACCTGAAAGGTCGCATTCCCCACAAGCCGCCTCTTACCTAGCTCATGAGGAAACTCCTCACACAGGATGGCGATTGATGTGCTGAGACCCTGCAGGAGAGACAGCGTGCAGGATGCCCCGATGGCCAGGCCATCAATGAAGTTGTGGAGGGCGTCACAGAGTGTGATCATCCAGGCAATCGTCCCAATTTCAGACAGTTTGGGGCCCTTCAGACAGCCATATGAACTGGACTCCCTTTTGCCCTCCTGTAAAATAGCAGAAGATTAATTAATATTTCTTGGGTTAGGGTTAGGGTTAGGGGCACAGAAAAGTAGGAGGTGGGTTGTGTCTGAGAGAGACACTTTCCAGCAAAAGCCTTTTGAAGTTATAGGAAGCCCTGACAACATATAACAGAGAACAAAACTTATGGCAGGGCAGAAGGCACACCTTGATCAAGCCACTTACACATGCTGTACACCAGGTTCCCCCAAAACCAAACCTTCTGCCTGATACAAACAAGTTCCTACAACTACCTTCCTACAATATAACACATTAACCTAAGAATTTGATTTATGCACACACTTTAAAGAAAGTTCTCCAAAGAATATATTTATAATCTTCTTAGTGTTGCAATTTAAATGTGAAAGCCACATTTAAAGCAGACTATCATCAAGGAGCATTTATTCCCACTCCTCCTCTGGTCCTGTGTGACTGTGAACAAATTATCACAGTCAGTTTCTCCAACTGTGAAACGAAACAAAGGCAATAAGCGGCTCGGCTTGCTCTCTCCCCGGCAGCTGCAGAACTTCCACCCCATCCCGGATGCCGTGCTCAGGGTCCGGGCTGCGGCAATGAGGTCCCTACCAGCTCTAAATCTCAATCATTCTCTCAACCAGCCCTGCCAAGTGTGATTGCAGCGGGCTTGCCTTTACACTAGCACTTCTTTCCACCCTGAAATAATAGTAAAAACAGAAATCCTATGACAGACCCCTTGTAGGAATTTCAAGTTCCACAAAATAGACAGAATGGTACAAAAACAAATGATAAATGCCAACTAAAGCATTTGCCAGAAGTTGCAGGAATGGATTATACCATACGAGTTCATTTTTAAGTAGGCAAGCAGTTTGCAATTAACTGGAGAGCATTTCATTGCTAACCGAGCGTCTGCAGTTTGTAAAATGTTGTGCTGAATGCTGTGGGAGACCTGGTGGTGGGGAGCACAGGGTCTGTCTTTAAGAACCACGTCTACTCTGGAGAACCAAGTCATCAAGTTTATGGCTGGCTTTTTTAAAAAGTGCAATATCTGCACATATCCACCCAAAAGCACTTCTTCCAGGTCAACAATCAGAGATGCTTTACATTTATTTACTCTAACCTTGCTCAAAACACTTGGGGATGAACACTTTAAGGATAGACTTTAGATCCCATAATACAACTGTTCTCCTGGTGGCAAATCTGTGTCTTACAATTTTTCTTTTACAATTTTTCTTTATTTAATAGCCTGTGTTTTCTGTTTCCAGATACAGCCAGAGTCACGTTAAGGCAAAGAACCGTTAAGTCACCATCTCCGTCACCATGCAGAACGAGTAACTGTAGAGTTTCTAGTACTGATGATGAGTTGAGCTCTGCTCTGAGGGCTTCAGGCAGTTCACTCACTTAGAGCAGTTCTGTGAGGTCAGAACAACTGATATTGCTCTAGCCATGTTACAGCTGAAGAAATTAAAGCACAGAAAGGCAGTGAATTTACCCAGTGATACAAAGGACATGAGTGATCTTTGGGGTAACAGTATTTGACAGTCCAGATTTATGGGGGATCCTTGTTTGTGACGGGATCTGCACCAGGGAAAACTTCTTTCAAAAACTCTTCCAAACACTCAAAGCAACATTAGCATAAGTCCCTGGTCTCCTTTATTTTCAAAAGTGAGTCTCACCTACATAAGAAGACGTCCATCCTGTCTTTACATGAGGACTTTTTTCACACCAGCTGTATCAGAAACATCAGCATAGTAAACGGTCCTGACGATGCAGGACCAGGAGGTGGCCTGGGCGACAGGTGGCCCAAAGCACAAGCTGATGAACGCAGGGACAAGGTGCTGGGACCAAAGCCGTGGAGAAAGGGACCTGGGTTTCACATAGACCCAGTGCTGGACACACCTCAAAGACAGTGTTTTCACCTTCCAACTGGCTTATGAAATCACATACACTATTTACAGTTTCTCATTTACTTGTAATGACTGGGAAAAGTTTACAAAGCGAACTCTTTACTACCTAATGTCACACAGTCTACAAACACCTTGAATGCTGCATAAGAAATTAAATGAACACATCACACATAGCCACCTGACCTCCAAGGAAGCGTGTACTGACTTTATTAGCTATGCCTCATTTTAATTCCATGAGTTTGGGTTCCAAACCATGCTGTTGGGAAGATTAAAGTCAGACATTGTTATAGTTTTTGTAGGGGGCCATAAAGGGAATCAAGATGTGTCATGTGCATGTAGCAGTTCCCCATAATGACTGTAATCATTATGTACTGTGTACCCATACTCATAAAAAGTTTTCTAAATGAAACAAACCAAACTAGGCAAACATTTGCAAAAAGTTACAGTTCACCTGGAACTAAGTGCCTGAGCAGAGAAAGTGCTAAATTCAAGTTCTTTTAACTAACACAGTGAGTACTGTATTCTTCTTCCTGTTCTTTCTTATTTTCACTTGCTGCTGCTGCTGTTCTAGGCTTGTTTCCTCCTTTGATTTTTCTCTAAATCTGAGGCTATTCCCTCCTCAGCCACGAGGGGGCAGATGAGCCCAGCGTGAAGGTGAGTCTGAAGTCCAAACCAAGAAAGCTCTAGAAAAGTTGGGTGGGCATAGAAACTTATTAAAAGGAAAACAGGAAGAAAATCTAACAATGTTGTGTGATCTTGGATGTGATGATGTTCTTGAAAAATCACACTAAAGCTAAGATGAGCAGGGAGATTCATTAGCCAGAAAGCAAAACCCACTATAACAGGGGCCATTGCTGAGTTTATAAGTTCAGACGAATCCGAGTCAACTGTGTCTGGGAGGAAACAAATCTGAAGGGTGTGAAATAGTGTCTTACACACATGGCACCTCACATGTACAAAGCAAGTCCACCTGTGACTTCAGAGCACCCTTTCCAGTGCACTTTCAGAGGTGCAGAAAATGACCACATAAGACTAGAAAGGATTTGCACAGGCAGCCGGGCTGTCAGGGCTGGACCACTTCAGTACTCACTGAGCATCCCTTTCACAGGGGGCAGAAACTGTGCCTCCAACATCAGGAATATAAAGGAAGCTCCAGCCAGATGGAGTTCATGGTCCAGAGCAGAACATAGGTCAAAGGGCCAGGTCTGTAACACGCAGTGCCCAGGCCGACCCCTTCCAAGATGACACACTACTCCCTCTCTGCCCTCTGTCCTGGGATGTTCTGATGGGGCCACCTCAGCCTACTCATTTTCCTACTTGAGACTGAGCAAAGGGAGCCCCATCTTGGGAGCTCAGGGCGAGGGGTACAGAAAGCAGAGTGTCCAGTCCTCAGTGCCCCTCTGTAGAGGCCTCTCAGCCTTGAGCAACCTCAGGTGAAGGTCACAGGTCCTGTCTCTCCAGGTTCCAGTACCTAATTCCTCTCCTGGACCCATCCTCTACATTATTGGCCCCTGGTTCAGGCACTCACCCTGTGGTTCTCTTCCTCCCCACACTTCGTACCTCACGTGAACCCTGCTGCAAGAGTCCTGACTTCAGGGTGCTACCTTCTTCCTACCAGGACCCCAGCCGGTACAACCACTGGTGTTGGAAGTGGGTACAGTTGCCTGCACTGAGATGTGTCAACTGAAGTTTTCCTAAATCCAAAGAATTGAGGAAAGGGAACCTGGTTATGTGTAAGGCGCACTGCATTTCCAAGCAAAGCCTGGCCCATGAGAGGTCTCTGCCGGGTCTGAGCTATGCTGCAATCTGTCCTGCCTCAGGTTCCCAGAGCCTGCAGGACCAATGGGGCCAGAGAATTGTGGCTGTCAGATGGGCTGAGGAGCCTCTGGACAGCCCTGATCCAATGAGCACCATGTGGACCTTGAGATACCATGGTGACACTGTGTCCTCTTTTGCATCAACTGCTCTTCTCTCTGGAAGCAGCTCATGATCTGGTCACAGTCAGTACAAACATGGGTTCAGCCTGAGGAGCACTGAATGAGGTAGCATCGTGCTCAAGGTGGGTGGACGCTATCTCTCAGCAAACCATGAAACCAATGTGCACACCACGCTCCACTGTTCGTCCAGAACAGCCCCACCCTGGTCAGGAAGGCACCATGACCATAGCACTAGGTGATCAAGAGTCTCATAGTACCTTACCCTGATGCTTAATCTTTTTTCCCTCCAACAGTAAAGTTATATGGTGACTTCCCAATGCCACTTAATTGTGCACAGACATCTAAGTGTACCCACAACCGCCAGCTAAGCGAGTTTATTCACAGGACCCTAAAATAGAGGGATAATGGGAAAGCCTAAGACTGAACACAACTTCGAGTGGAATATCTGATTTCCTACTTCCTGCAGAAGAAATGCCTGGGTTTCAGAGCGACATTAATTCAGGGCATGCCAGACTGTCAAATGATAAAGTTAGAAAACTGGAAGTAAAGATACAAGGGGTGTGGTGAATGCTTAAATTTAAAAAAATTATTACAATAAAAGAGATATTGCCATTAATTCCCCTCAGAATACCCCCTCACTTCGAACACACTCATCCTATCTCTTGCCACTTTCTGCAGCAGCTCTGGAGTCCTCCTTCCTAAGTGTCTTCAGTTGCACTGTCCTGGCTGTCTCAGTGTTCTGAATCTACTCCAAACATTGACCTTTCATGGTCATTTTGACTTTGGGGAAGAGCCAGATGTTGCACAGTATCAGATCTGGTGAATAAGATAGATGGGGACAGCGTGTCATGCTTCTATAAGTTGCCTTTCCAAGGGATGGCACTGAGCAGCAGTATTCATATTTTTTATAGTGTCTTGTAAAGACACTCGTTTGTAAGGAATGATGGGATGAGTATGTCTGAAAGGAAGGACAGTGTTTTGTGGAAGATTCATGGCAGTGTTTCTTTTACTACAATAAATGTTTTAGGTTTAAGCATTCACCATATATTTTGAACACTCCTCTTATTTGGAAAGTTATATAAGAACATACCTCTTTTAACAGGCACGGAATAAAAGCTAATTCTATTCTATTAAATCGTGTGAGAGGCTCCAGCATTATAAACAGCC